ATCACTTCACAAGTAAAAGAAAAGTTCATATGCATTATCTAGTAAGAGATCTTGAACATCTTTAGCACTATGAGGAATCTTATTAGTGGTAATGTTCACATGTATCTTGGTTGACCTTGGGGGATATGAACTCCCATGTTTTCCATTCCATAACCATCCTAAGAAGCCAGCAAAACCAAATTGTGAGACTAAAAAAATCTGATAGTTCATAGAAAATCTCCTCCATTAAACATATTTAATCAAATAAACTTGTAGTAATCAAATGATTAACCTCTCTAGGAGATTACCAAGTTTTTATTTCAAAATCAATGGATCTTAAGTTTTACATGATCAAAATAAGTGAAAACCATTCATAAGCTCTTATATCAACGTAAAAATAAGTTATGAAAGCATGATATACCTCAGAGGAGTGATAAAGATTGAAAACAGTTGGAAAAAAACTTAATTGCTGTAGAACAGGGTGATACACTACGGCTTGTGCACATTGCACCGCGGTGTGTTGCTCTCTATGCCACGTGCTGAGGCGTGTTGCTCTCTGTGCCAATGTACTGCGGCGTGTTAGACATTTTTGATAGTAGATTCTACTATCATTTGACAGTAGAATTGGGTGACTTTTGACGTGTTTCAAATCTTCGTCTGATGTCTGAATGACATGATCTAAGTGTCTACGAAAAGCTTTTTTTATATATTAGCTAATGGCACGGGTTTCACTTCCAAAATAAGTCACACTAGGAAGCTGGATACCTAAACACATTTTTATCACTTTTCACAAATTTTTACAACAAGGGGTGTCAAAAACCCAAAACAAGTGCCAAAACCCTTTCTTAACACCTGGACTATGTCCATTGGACTTAAGACTATTAGTACAACACGTCACATGTACTCAAATACTAGTATAACCCCCAAAATCACTCCTCAACTTCTTTTTTATCAAAAATAGAAGGGGGAGGTAATTTTATTGCATTGCCTCATAAATTAATCATGACATGTTTAAAATATCATTTCTACTATTGTATTAGTATTTTGACCCTATTAACATATATAACTTATAACATACAATTTTTAGGGTCCAAAATACATTCCAAACATTGAAATAATCACATCCAAAATACATTCCAAACATTGAAATAATCACATAGTGCAAGTGTAACTAGAAATGCAACCTAGAATTGACAATAATATTCTATTACACAAAGTAAACATATACCAGAGGCATACAGTAGGAATGTACTAATTCCTAAGCCTCTTGAGCTTTTTCCCTCTCAGCACCAAAGTTAGAGCCTGTAAAATGTTAAATGAAAGGGGTGAGTCTAGCCATTTAGTAACCATGATAAAACTTACCCTATGCAGTTATATATCAATTGTAATTAACCACATGCATGTGAAACTAAGTCTTTAAAACATGATTACACACACAACATAAATTATCATTCCTTATTTAAATCATCTTTATCTCATATACATTAGGTACATTGTCATAAGACATTCAGACATATGACCATGACTCGATATTCATGCAATTTGCCACATAACAATCATGTAACACATCATGTAATTGACATTGGTAATGGTCAACCAACCTTATACCCTCCTTATTTCTTCCGACCAAAATCATGGACTATAACATTGAATAGGGCTCTATCTGTGTGACTGGACTACCTAAGTTCACCAATTATGAGGTGTGAGTCGGCCAAAGATCACATAACTCACTCTTGAATCACGGCTTTCCCCACTCTTAAATCTCTGGGGTGTCGTATACCATAAGCTATTCTCCTCGATAAACTAGTGGAGAAAGCTAGGTTCCAATCCCTCAACAAACTATGGGATAGTCTCTTAACAAAACTGTGGGACAAGGCTATATCCGTGTATAGGAAGGTAGCCTAAATACCATATGAATTTTCCTCTACTCTTAATCTCTAAGCAAACTCTCACCTATTGATCATGCCATAGACGATGCTCACTTAATTTTCACAATCTCAATTATTCAATATCTAAATCAATACGTTGGGTTCATGATCATGCACTACCCAAGTGAGCATTAATTCTTATTTTTACTTACATAACATAAAACCCATCATTTTCAATCTCATATATTCATCTTATCAATTCCATTATCAATCACTCATCCAAATCACATTATAAAAATGAAAATCATTTCACAATCACTTTTCACATGTTTAATACACATCAAAGTAATTATGTAAACACCAAGTTTCATTGCATGTAACACCATTCATAGATCACAATTTGCATGTCAAACACATAATTCACCTTATACTATAATTAACAAACAACTACCCAAAGTAGGGTTTCTCGGGTTATTTCAAACCTTTGAGAGATTAAAGGTTTACCTCTCAATATTATAGCTTTCAAGCTTGAATTCCAAAGCCAAATTGGTGTCCACGAGCTTAATCTACAATTTACCAAGTTAACCCTCATTAACAATGTCAAACACACACATTTCAACTCTCATCTTCCATTTCTAGATTACCCAATGCCCACTTTATATAAGTTTGGGCCTACTTTTTGAGTTTATTAACTCTCTTTAGTCCACAACAATATTAGTGAGCCATTAAACTCCCATTAATGGCATTACATTCTTCTAACAACCTTCATTTATGTCATTTTTGCATAATAATGAGATTCAACCACCAAAAGTGCTAAAACTCAATATATCTAGGTTTAGATACTCCAATATACTCCTATTAACTCTATTTGAATCAATGGATTTGGACTCATAATCTATATGGACCAAAAAATCATTTACCACTATCAAAACTTAACATCCACTCATAAATGTGTAAGAAAATGGGAGGAATGGGGTTTAAGTACTTACGTTAAGTGTTTAGTAGCTTCAAAATATCCTAAATATCCTCTAAAGATGAACCCTAGCAGAGCATAACTCATTCTCTTCGTTTTCTCCTTTCTCTTCTTTCTGTTTTTATCTCAATTCACGACTCTTAATTTGCAAAAAATGGCCATGCGTTGTGGTGGACGCACAATGCGCTGCGGCACATGGTACAAAGAGGGCCTCCTCAAGTGTGTCAACGCACATGCACTGTGGTGGCTTGGCCCACAAGCCGCACTGCATAGGATAGAGTCTTCCCTCTTCACTATTCTTCCTTATTTCACATTTGGGTGACTCGATTCTTCTTCAAGCCTACTTTTATGACTAAAACCACAATTAAACACGCCCGTTAAATTTCTCTGGCTATACACTACTGTAATTTACTTAATTATCATAATTAAGTTTAGTTACCCCCTTTTACTTAATTTGATTTTTAGTTTTCCAGGATGTTACAGAAGGACCATTGGATTCCAAACTTGCCATCTTTTAAAGCTGATGCCAATGCTGGGATAAATATAAATGAGCATCTTCTTGTATCTAACTTGATTGTTCACAACCAGTGGGATCTATCATCCCTTTCCAGACTCTTCTCCAGCACTACTATTACCAACATCTTAAGATTCCTATCCCTAGACGTGTTGTTGCCGATTCTATTGTGTGGGCTACTGCAAATAATGGATGTTACTCATCCAAATTAAGCTACAGATTATCTATGTCACTGTCTACGAGGGATGTTGTGAGCAAAACCCCTAGCTCTTCCTTTTCTATGCCTAAGGACCTTTGGCGTGATCTTTGGTATAAGTTACAGCCAAAAGTAAACACTTCTTGTGGAGAGCCTTTTACAATTCTTTAGCAACAAAAGAAGCTCTTTTCAACTTAAAATGTGCACATAACCCACTTTGTCCAATTTGCTCTAAATCTTATGAAACTATTGAGCACCTCCTCCTACTGTGTGACTGGGCAAAACAAGCTTGGTATTATCCTTTAGAATTAGTGAAGTTGATCTCACTTCATTTGACAGATGGTGCTTTAATTTGTTTTCACAAGATAGCTCTCTCGCTGACTATGATAAAATGTATATTGCTAACCTCTGTTGGAATATATGGAAAATGAGGTCAGCTCTGTTTTTGCTGCCACTGCAATTGATCCTTTCAAGCTAGTTTCAATCACAAATACTGTTGCTAGTGAATACTGGAGTGCTAATGCAATTGAAGGTCCTATTTTTTCTTCGAATTCTTTGCATCCTTCTATCTAGTTCCCCCACCATCTGATATGAGTAAAATAAACTATTACGGCTCTTTTTTGAGCTCCCCTGGTAATGCGGGTGTTAGCATTATATGGAGGGATCACTTCGATAACTTCCTCAAAGGATGGTGTGAGCCAGTAGCTGCTGATTCTGGATTTATAGCCAAGCTTCTTGCATGACGGAAAGCTGCTGAACTCTTGATTGGAAATACTTTTGAGCTCTCTCACCAGCGTTTCATCTTGGAACTTGATTGTCAGGACTTTACAAGGCTTTAGTCTTTAAAGAGTTTATCTAATTGCAAATGAAACTATCATGGTTTCATGGCTGATCTTTTGAACAGCACTGAGTCTCTTCCCTCTTGAACTACCATGGCTTGAGATGCACGTTTCTACTGTTGATCATGGCAGGGAGGAGATTGGTTGAATTTGTCTTTTGATGTGATTAATGTATGCCTTTGGCTATGGCTTGAGGCTTTGACTTGTACTATTTTATTTCATTAATATTACGTCCTCTTCTTTTTGGTAAAAAAAAAAAAAATCAAATTTATATCTAATTTACATTTACGAGTTCACGTGAATTTATAAGTTAAACACGTAAAATTTAAAAAGTCAAAGAGTTAACTGACAGATGCAATAGACAAATTTATGAGTGACTTTGATAAATTTTATGAGCTAAAAATGTAAAATTCTCAAAAAAAATCTCGCGGTTTAACAAGAATGCATAGAACAGTACGCTACACGGCATGCAAATGCAACTTCATCTGCTTTTAAATGAAGAATTTATGGTGCAATGATTGATGTCGGCTCAGGATTCCGACAAGAACACTGACGTGAGTGCTTACGCTGAATCGCTGATCACACCACAACTATCCCTGCCTCTATAAATCACGTCTGCTTCACCCACCGTCCCATTCTCTCAGTCACAACTCTCCTCGATGGCTTGGAGAGGCATACTGGGTTTCGATTACGGCATAGTTCAGGCTCCCTTGGGCCCAGATATCTCTGGTCCCCATCTTGTTGCCGCCGTCGCCAACGCCCGTGCTCTCGGGTTTCTCAGAGCCCCTGATTGGGTATGCTATTCCCCTTTTTTGTTTCCCGTGTTTTTTTCCCTGAAAATGATCACTGATTCTTCACGTTACGAGAATCCCATGATTGTTACGTGCTTTCCAGTTTCAACATAGAGTGACCAATTCACCTTGAGTTTTTTCTCACGAGATTATCGTTTTATTAGTTCAAAACTTGACTACAATAATCATCTAGTTATTAGATTGGCCGGCCATTCTAGACTGAGCTTCCAAAAAGGTCACGAGATACTGCTGAAACTATGGTTTTTCCCCTCTCAATGATTTTGTTGTCATCTTGAATTTGTAATAGGTCTTCCTTTGTTTGTATCTTGGAGTGTCACTTAGAATCCAGGAAAAGGAGGAAAGAAGAAGAAAAATGTCCTTTTCTTTTGGGGCTTTGATTGATGAATTCATCCTGCATCTTTGATGCAAATGTTGCACTTTGTTGTGTTTGATTGGAATTTCTCCATCAGGAATCGCCAGATTACTTGAGGGAGCTCATAAGGAAGACTAGGACCTTGACTGACAAACCGTTTGGGGTTGGTCTTGTTCTGGCATTTCCCCATGAGGAGAACTTAAAGGTCATTTTGGAAGAAAAAGTGGCAGTCTTACAAGTTTATTGGGGTGAGTGTTCAAGGGACTTGGTGAATAAGGCTCATTCAGCTGGGGTCAAGATTGTTCCCCAGGTAAGCGGTTAATTCCTTCCATCTGTGTTTAGTGATATTTCCTATATGAAAATGCTACTTATGTGAAATTGTATTCATGTTTATGTCCTGTAAACTTATTTTGATAACCCTGTAATGCAAAGTTAAAATGGATTTGGATTCTCTGAAATATGTGAAGTTTTCCAAATTTTATAATTCAAAAGATCCAAGTTATGGTTAATATCCAAGCAGAGTTAAAAGCATGAAAATATTGAAAACGTATTTTCCTTCTAGTAAATGCAATGACAGTTTAATATTCCTTTTGATGTTCATGAGCCGTTCTGACATGCCGATGATCTTTGAGTTGGATGGCATCTACTTTTCCTTTCCTTTTGAAATAAATTGAACATAGGCTAGAAATGTGTAGTTTTAAGCCGAGAATTATGAGATCAGATCCCAAAATCATTTTCCATCAGCCCTTCATGGTGAAAATTGGGGTAAGAAATGAGGTGATTTTGTAGACCTGTGGTATAAATTAAATGAAAAATTGAGATTTTTTAGTCAGGCATGTTGGTTTCTGATTGTAGTTTTCTATTGTATACTATGTAGTTGCTTAGCTTCTACTGATATTGGCATCTGATCTGTTACTTGCAATCCTATTGGAGGTTGGGAGTGTAGCAGAAGCAAAAAAAGCAATCGATGCAGGTGCGGATGGAATAATTGTACAAGGCCGCGAAGCTGGTGGTCATGTCATTGGTCAGGTGTGCATCCTTATCCTTATTCTGAAGTGTATGAACAACTTTACGATCATAGGTAACTTACTTCAGTGCTCATATGCAACTTTATTGTTAGTTTATCATAACATTAAAGACAGTAGCTGGTGTAAAATAAGCCCTCTAATTGAATACAATTCAGCAAGCAGTTCTTGCAATTTCTGCTCTTTAAAATTTTCTGTAAGCCTTCGTGATCTGCTTAGTATCATGCCTATCTGGTTCAATCTCTGGCAATTCTATAGAAATCTTAATTCTTAGGAGGTAATGTATTGAAAAGCCACTTCACTGCAAATACTTTTCCACCACACATGATGAAATTCTTAAGGTGCATTTATTATTGAATATTTTCTTAACTGTTATTGAAGTTTTTGTCTTATTAGTAATAATTTTGACTCTCGGATATAGTCTATAAGCATTTTTAGTGTCTATTACTTACATTGTTGTCATTGGGAGACATCACAATTGCCATTTTCTTCAAGTTGGATTTTCTGCAATCGTATGGCCAAATAATCAGAGAGGGATTAATTAAAAGGAGTGCAAATATGTATAAGAGAGAACATGATCGATTTCTCGTTACATCTATTTCTCTTTCTCTTCGACTGTATTGTATACAAACAATTATAAATACAGTGGATCCAGTTCTGTTTTACATCAACATAAAAAAATATAATCCCATCGTTCAGCGTCTTAGGAAACCTATTACACTTAGATCTTTTACAGCTAATATGAGTGATAGCTAACAGTATTGTTAGGCACTGACATACATCGGTACTGTTTAGTACAGCTACTCATTGATTTTGTTGCTTTCTTATTTTGCATCTAACGCCAGGAAGCTTTAATAGCATTGGTGCCCAGGGTGGTTGATCTTGTTGGAGACAGAGACATACCTGTTATTGCAGCCGGAGGAATAGTTGATGCAAGAGGTTATGTTGCTGCTCTGGCACTTGGTGCCCAAGGCATCTGTTTAGGAACTAGGTTTGAAATATGAAATTTTACCCGATACATGTTTGAGGAAATTGTTCACATATTCTTGTCGGTGTATGATAACAAGGTTTGAAATCTAAATTTCTAGGTCATAGTTTTTTCTTATACTATTTATCATTTGTGAAAAACGAGTTTCCACATATTCTTGTCACTAAATGCCTAGTTATCGGTTATCCACTATGAGCCCTTCTCTCATTTGAACATTACCCTTAACATGAAGGCTATGCCATCCTAAGGTCTTATCAACATCCACAAGTGATAAATCATGTTCCATATTGAACTGCTGAATCAGGAAGATTGGATGCTATCATATAGCTTTGCATCAGCATCAGTAGGTTCATAAGTTGGAGATAAGCTTTGTATCAGTCATGATGGAATTGAGACTAATTTTAGTTGACGAGGAGTAGAACAATAAGAAAGACCCCCAAGATTATTACTTTGCTTGAATAATAATCTCAGTTTAAATCTGAGTTATTTCTGCAACTGTTTTTTCTTTCATGTCTCTGTACTTAAAGAGTCTTGTTTTAAGGTTTGTTGCAACAAAGGAAAGCCATGCTCACCCTACGTACAAGAGGAAGTTGGTTGAGCTTGATGAAACTGAGTACACAGACGTATTTGGCCGGGCCAGATGGCCAGGCGCGCCTCAGCGTGTGCTGGTGACACCCTTCTTCTGTGATTGGAGATCGCTTCCCCCCCATGAAAATGAAGCCAATCAGCCTGTCATTGGTTATTCAAAGATTAATGGCTTGGTAAGGCTTCAGATTGTGCATATTTCTATAGCATTAGCAGTTATATGATACAAGTTTAGGATGTACGAATACTGACATTGACATTTTGAACTCATTTGGTACAAGGTTTCATGACCTTGTGTTAAAAAATGATGAAAATGAATAGACTGTTATATAATAATATTATGTGACATTCATATTGGTGGATTTGAATTTGAATCTAAATCTTATATGTATTTAAAATCTTTTGTTTAGATAATGTAAAAAATTTCAAAAGAAGAAGAGAGATGAGCTGGGAGTCGAAATAAAAATGATAGATTGAGAGTAGTGATCTTACCTCCATTCCTTAATTGGTGAAAGACGAGAATGAGAGATGGGAGAAAAGGCATGAGTAATAGAGACACTAGTAGTGAAAACATGAAAAAGAATGAGTTGGTTAAAGTATTTGACATTTTAAATAAGCAGGAAATAAAGGGAAATTAAAATTGCAAATAATTTATAATGAAACATAAATTTGACTTTGGATCAAATTGAAATCCAAATTTAAATCTCCATTAATCTAAACACAACTTAACGATATAATAGTTATCACCTAACATTGAAAGAAAGAAATTTTATTCCTTTGCTTACACAAAGCAGGGTATGTGTCTTTCTGGTGGATCTGACTCTCTGATTTGGGATGAAGCTAAAGCCTGATATATTCTCTAGCTTTAAGCTTACCCACCTCAATTTCAGCTTATCTTTAAAGATCAGATTGTGGCCCAAGTTCCAAGCCCATGAGCAGCCCTTGTATTATTTATATAAAAAAAAAGCTTGTTCAAAATTGAGAGGAAAGCTCAGTGAATTACATATGTTACAAATGAATATCATGTTTTTATCTAAAGCTATCTAATTCCTACGCTTGTTATGTGGGGTAACCTGTTCCACCAACATTGTTTTCCCATGATATTTGAATTGAAGAAGAGCATTTTGTTTGATACTGATGTCTAATATAAATAACATGAACACAATTCTTCTGAAGTGTTTGCGTAACTGTACTGTACTGTTCTACTTGACTCCATTTTTGCCGTGAAACAGGAGAAAGAGATTCGGCGATTTGCTGGAACAGTGCCAAACATGTCAACTAGAGGGGACCTGGAGAGCATGGCGATGTATGCAGGGCAAGGTGTTGGTCTGATAAAGGAAATTCTGCCTGCTGCTGAAGTGGTTAAGAGGTTGGTGGAAGGTGCACAGCTTCTGATCCAACGTAACTTTCAATAGGCAGCCAAGTAGTAATGGTGCCGGTTTGGTTACTGCGTTTGAGCTTCTGAAAGTCCTTTTGCACGAAAGTGTTGATAACTTTTGTGAAAAGCAAGATTTGATAGTTTTTGAAGAGAGTCTTTTTAGAATGTTGTCCAATCACCTTATAAGGTAGTGACATGCAAGTTCTTCTAAAGGTGAGCGGTTAAGGGTTCGATTTCACTTGCAATTTCATGAATTTAGAGTCTGTCAGAATGTTATTCAAGCACGATAGTTGGCCCATTCTGAGTATTATGGTGATCCTTCACCAATTTTTTCGAGATTTGGATTCAAATAAGAGGAAGTAACGGGCTGCGTGAAAGAATTTTGAGGCCTAAAGCAAAATTATTTAAGAGATTTAATATATTATCATTCATTTATTTTCATATTTTTTTTAATTTATTAATACCAAATGCAAATTTTCTATTTAACTTTTTTGCCACTTCAAATCCTATAAAAAAAATTAAAACAATTATAGTTTCAAATAAAAAGTAAAAGATTAACAAACACATATAATATGGCCAATACTTGAGATCATAATTGGTGTTTTTTAAAAGCAAAACTCCTATTTTTAAGTAAAAATATATAATTAACTTTAATATTTAACAGGAAAAATAAAGACCGGTAATATAGAAGATAGATAAACATTTTTGGAGGCTTAAGGTGATCGCCTCATTGGATTAGCAGTTCACACGGCCTTGGGTAGTAACAGTTTATTCCAGTGTTCTATTTGCAACAACTAAATAGAAACTTCCATTTTAATAAATTTGATACATGGGAAATAGGAATAGGGTGACTAGGTAAATAATTGGTAAAAGGGGTAGTTTGGGGATTTACTAATATCTCTATAAATGGGATTACTAGAAATTATCTGTTGCGTCATATTTTATATTTAGTCTCTCTTCTCCTTCGGCATGTAACAAAATTATTCTTGTTTTTTTTTTTTTTATTGAATCCGCCTGCTATAGAATTTAAATGTTTGCTAGTGTTTGATATTTGCAAGTGTAGGCCTCTATGGTTTATAAATTAACAAGTATGCTTAATTTAATTTCGGTCAATAAAGATTGAGAATTTACTTTTTTTTTTAAATTCCAAGTATGATTATAATTAAGTATATGATTAATGACAATGACATGATTATAATTAAGTATATGATTAATGACAATGATGGGATCATGAGGCGCTGATTAATTAAGCTAAGGAACAAAGGTATATACTAAGCAGAATCTCATCCCAGCTTAATATTTGTTTCAAAGATCATTTTCAATCAATCACATAATCCCTAATTGTTGGCCCTTCCATGTGATCCGAGGGTTATACATTAACATCACTTTCTTACTATTCTATTCCGTGTCAGGTAGGATTTCTTCTACAGATTTAAATGTCTCAAAAAGTAACATAGGAAATTGATGTTTAAATTACCATAGACATGCATAATACAGGCACACAAATCAATTCAAAAATTATAGAAATTAACAAATTATTTTTTTTCAAATATATCTAATAGCTGAATGAATTTGTTTAATATCTTTTGAGTAAATTATAATAGATGTTCTATGATTTAATTTAAAATTATTATTTTGAGATTTGGAATATGTTATTAAAGTGTGTTTTTTTTAAATAATATTTAGGATTTAGATTTGATGACTACTTAATGTAGGTATTGAATGCTTATATCATCTGAACCATTAAAATTTAGATTAATGGTTATAAATTTAAAATCCACTTATGATTAATAAATGAGTGAATTTAATCATAAGTGGAGTATAAATTTATAACCATTGATTTAAATTTTAATGATTTAGATAATACAGGTATTCAATGCCTTTATTAAGTATAGTCACCAAATTTAAATCTTAATTTTTATCATTGATTCAATTTTTTTTGTTAGCCACCATTACCCACACATTAGTCATTTGCAAACAATCAATATTTATACAAATAAAATATACTTTTTTACTATTTATAACTATTTGTTGCTCCAAATTTATTACTTACTATTTTCGTAAGCAACATCAGTATTTTCTTACTTTCTTGTGTTATGTGTGTGTGTTTAGTTTAAATAGCTGACAATGTATTGTCTTTAATGCTAATATATCTAATTTAGAGTACGTGTTTTATGAGCTAAAATTTTATACTCCCTCGGTTTCTATTTGTAGGAGAAACTATCACTTTTTACTTATTTTTTATATAAGTAAAATTACATATTTCAATAAGTATTTATTACACATTTTATAAATCACTCCTCATAATTTACATTAACAAAAAATAATTAATGCATGTTTATATTGATTAATATAAGGCATTTTAATTCAATTTCTTTATTTTCAGACATAATTATTATGGGTAACTAACTTTTTTAAATTGTTTGATATAGTGTTTTTTTTATATATAGCAACGGAGGGAGTATTAGATAACAACATTACAAATATAAGGTTAACATACATAGAATTCTCATGAATTTTAAAAAAGTTGCACAGAATTCTCATTAAAAATTTAAAATTAATCTCTTTAACTTTTTTATTATTTTTTTTATTACTTACTCCCTTATTGTTATTTTTTAATTATTTTATTGACAAATCATGTCATATCACATTAAGAAGTGATGTTATGTTTTAATTTATATTTTTTCTATGGAGTTGCCTAAACCAAAATTGGTGCACTGGGTCGAGTAGGGGAATTCACTCAAGGCGAAACCAGTTAGGAAGTAGACGCAGCCTAGTAGCTATTCAACCTTATGCACATAAGTGAAACAAAGTGTTTAGGAGATTGTTGACGAAGTAGTGCTCACTCTACCTACCTCACGAGATTCTTAGTGCGCTCATGCTTGGCACTCCACACAACAAAGTACACCCATAAGAATTCGAAGGCATGAATGGTTATGTGCTCTTGATGGCACTAAACTTGAATTCAAAAAGTGCGTGCCATTGCTATTTTTTTATAAATAGGCAACAAGTGTATGACTAAAGATCTCTCTACACTTTTCCAAACTTACATAACATTTGCCCAGTGCAAATCACCAATCTCAACCCTATGTCACCCAACTTCACCTAATGCGAACTACCTCTTCTGTGTAAACTTGGCTTCTTAGGCTAGCTTCATATATGTATTTCCTTCTTTGTTTTCATGGAGCACCCGATTGTGCTAATTTCACCAACAATATCATTAAGCTTTTTACTCAGCACGACACACTATTTTATTGTTCTCACATATACTTGACTCTCTAAGGAAATTATACTAAAGGACCTTAGGAACCTACTTGATCATCTGATTGCAACTCATACTTTTAAAGACATGTTCCTTTGGCATGCTTGGCATCCACCATAAGGGTTGTAACGCTTAGACCCCTTCCTCAAAAAATCAAGCTAACATAGTTTTTAGCACGTTCAGTGGGACTCGATTGTCAAGGACAACGTCAAGAAACACCCATTCTAAATATTTTGAGGATAAACACCATACTAGACCTCAGGGTTGAAATGTGGTGTTGTAGGTGCAGTACATGAAACCCACAACTTTCGTCCTAGGGATGAAAGGGAGGCAAGATTCCTAACTCTTGAGACATATGATCGCTTGGATATAGACGAGCCCATAGGCAACTTATGCACTAAGCCACGGAGCCTAAGAAGCTTTCAAAAGAGCTTTGAGTAGCAATGAAGAAAATCAAGAAGACCTTAGATGACTTCTTGAGGCACTACAACCCAATATGGGATCTTTTAGGTTTAGTGGATTGGACAAGATGGGACAACCCAACAATGTCACCAATAGTAACATAACTCCATTCTCACAAAAGTTCAAAGACACCTTAGATTTGGACCTTATTGCCAAAAGGGTGCCACCCGTGAAACCCATCATCAAACTAGTAGGATGATGGAGCACAAAGAGCTCTAGGCTATAGCTATTATGCCCATAAAAACTATAAAATGCAACAAACCTCGAAAAGGTTAGCTACTAGAAGAGTTCCAGATATATAAGGATGAATTAGTTTACAAAGACTTGTAAGATGACATAGAACATATATAGTGGGAAGACCTACAAGCCACCCTATGGCACATAGAAGATATTCCCCCAAGGTAAAAGACCTTCTGGAGGAGATAAACCTAAGGAGTGCTGAGGTACTTTAGTCGATCTACATAAGTAGCCTCCTTGAAATTAACTTGAATGATGGCTTGATTAAGGTACTCAAAAAGTACAAAGATTTCTTCGCTTGGGAGTACAAGTAGATGCTTGGTTTAGATAGGAAGTTGGTGGAGCACTGCTTGTAACATCCTGAATTTTAACTTTGGAAATTTCTAATGTTTATAAGGGTATTTTAGTCAAATTAAGTGAATTTGATTAATGATTTTTTTGAGAGACTAATGTTGGATAGGGAGGTGCAGCGGAAGATTAAAATTTTAAAGTTCCTATCCTAATATGGACCGAATGAATTCGTTTAAGTCAAGGTGGATAGAAGAGTTATCTTTTAATTCTTTGAAGTTGGCACATGTTCTCTTCAAGAGTTTGGATCTCAGGAGCTGACAACATAAATCTGATCCCTTTATCAGTATCCACACAAACAGCTCTCTAACTTGAACAGCGTGCTAGCGCTCTCAATGTCCATTCTTCTTTGAACGTTAATTTTTCTTTCTATAGAGTGTTTCGTGGCTCTCAGAGTGTTTTTGTCATTAGAACTTTTCTAACCCTCTCATCCTTCATGAAGGACGTCCCTATCTATATATAGTATATAGATAAGTGTTTTCGTCTTCCACTTAAAAGCCCACAAAAATTTAATTAAATTTATCTCATAAATTTAATCCATAATATTATATCTAATTCACATTTATTTTATAAATTTAAATTATAAAACTGACATGATATTCTCTCATATCATGTTAGTTATTAAATTTAATCTATCATATAAAATTAAATTTAAAACTAACATAATATAATATAAGATAATATAAGATAAGATAATATAATATATATCACATACATACATATTATATTATATATCTATACATACAAATATATATGTAAATATATATTTCAAAATATATATATATATATATTATATTATCTATATTTAATTTTATATATCATATACATATATCATATATATATATATATCTGATATATATGTATATATATCAGATATATATATATAAAATTATATTTTGAATTTTATATTTCATATAAATATATATAAATATTTATCAAATAAATATTCAAATATATATATATATATATAATTCATTCAACCTATATTACATTCATTGAATTGAAACATATTCTAGATTCAATAAAC